ACCTGTTGATTCACTTGAATCTAAAAAAAATATTTTTAATTACAGCGTCTATCCTGAGAATTGATCCACCTGATTAAGAAAGAGGCGGTTAGAGAGAATAGTCGACGTCTAATTAGTCCATGCACCATTAGACGCAGAATTAATTACTGGAGTATCTTGCTAGCTTGGAGCAAGATGAGCAATGGGACGTGCAGCTGCTGCAGCAGCAGTAGCAGGTAGAGGCAGACGAATGTATTTAATTGGTTTTCATCTCTCCTGCTGCCCATGTCAACCCACGACCGACTGCTGGTTTCTGTCGCCATTAATTGCCCTTTTTCACACCAAGCTCAGCACAAGCTGCATTTTACGGTTCACTGTTTGATAAATCTTTTTTCTTTTTATGTTTTTTACCAAGCTGTGAAAGAACAATTGACCTGATGCATTTTAAGCTTCAGCCAAGGCAGGTCACCAGCTGGATTCTAGCATAGATCACCATGCTTGGCTCACAGTTGCAGTCACAGTCACAGCTCATGAGTTCATCTACTTCCCATGTTCAAGGTCAAGAAGAAGAGATTCCGCGGCCACAAACAGCATTTCAATTGCGTCAATTGCTAGTCACTTGTGCAGACCTCATCTCTCAATCTGACTACTCCGCCGCGAAACGCCTCCTCTCCATTTTGTCCTCCAACTCTTCTCCTTGTGGTGACTCTATTGAGAGGTTGGTTTATCAATTCGTTCGAGCCCTTTCTATCCGCCTCGATAGCCATGGCATCCCCACTAGTACTGCTCCTGCTCCTCATGTTTTCAGTATCAACAACATAGCTAATACTTCTCCTCCTTGCGGTACTGATAATAAGATGTTGAATAGCTATGACTGGGATCAGGAGACTCTTCGGTCTTGCTATTTGTCCTTGAATCAGATCACCCCATTCATAAGATTCAGCCATCTAACAGCCAATCAGGCTATCTTGGAAGCCGTACAAGGAGGGCAGCAAGCCATTCACATCATAGACTTTGAAATCATGCATGGGGTGCAATGGCCTCCATTTATGCAAGCTCTAGCTGATCGACCCAACAACACTCTTTATCCTCCTCCTAGGCTTCGAATCACTGGAACTGGACATGATTTGAACATGCTACACAGGACTGGAGACCGCCTTTTGAAATTTGCTCAGTCCTTGGGCCTCAGGTTCCAATTCCATCCTCTTCTTCTTCTCAACAATGACCCTACCTCTCTTGCCCTCTATCTCCCTTCGGCAATTACTCTTCTCCCAGATGAAGCTCTGGCCGTGAACTGCGTTTCGTATCTTCACAGGTTCCTTAAGGATGATTCTCGTGAACTGCTCCTTTTTCTCCATAAAATCAAGGCCTTGAACCCTAAGGTGGTGACAGTTGCTGAAAGGGAAGCCAACCACAACCAGCCTCTCTTCCTGCAGAGATTCCTGGAGGCCTTGGATCACTACAAAGCTCTCTTTGACTCCCTAGAGGCAACCCTCCCACCAAAGAACAGGGAGAGACTGGCAGTTGAGCAGATATGGTTTGGGAGAGAGATAATGGACATAGTAGCAGCAGAGGGAGAAGGAAGAAGAGAGAGGCACAAGAAGTTTGAGACTTGGGAAATGATGATGAAGAGTGTAGGGTTTAACAAAGTTCCATTGAGTCCCTTTGCACTTTCGCAGGCCAAGCTCTTGCTAAGGCTCCATTATCCTTCAGAGGGCTATCAGCTTCAGATTCTCAAAAATGCTTTCTTCTTAGGTTGGCGGAATCATTCCCTCTTCTCTATCTCTTCCTGGCAGTAGCTAGCATGCATGCTAAAATATCAATAGCCTTATTCTAATTAATCATTAATGTCTCCTCTTATATATCAATGCTAGTTCTCCTATATGAATATAGTAATAATTATCTGTCTTATATTTAGATCAGGAGTTAACTTTTTAATTTCTTTGTTTCTTAATCAATTAATTCAGCTAGAACAATCGATGTATTGTATTCATCTTGAACACAGCATCAATATTATATCGAGGAAGGTGACAGTCAGTTTCCACTGACAATTTAAGCAGTCTCAAAGCATTTAGCGGCATTTTCTGAGAAGATTATCTTGTTTGTCTGCTAATTAATTAAATATCAGTGCAGTGTTGAGGTTGTTATATATGTTTCAATCTTTAATGATAATTAATAATGCTAGCTTTACTTAATTGGAATATACATAAGCTCTATCCATGGTGATGCTTGATCAGTTTTTACTAATTTGCAAGCAAATTAATGACGAGAGAAGAGCCCGCAATTGTTTCCCGAAATTCCTTTGTCTTATTGAATATAGCTAGCTATCTAGCTAGGTAGCTGTGGTTTCAACTTTTTAGATCGAGGGGATGGGTGAACATGAGCTCGAACTAGGGTTTTTTTCTTGTTTTTAGCACCAAGTTACCCCGTATATTCCTATTGCTGTCTTTCATTCCCGCACCATTAATCGGTACCACCCTAATATCTGCCCTTTGTCTCCCCAGCAACAAAATCATCGAAGTTACCAAAATAAACCTTTTTCTTGCCTATACCTTGCCTCCTCTAATGCCATGCATGCAACACATGAAAACTAAGCCTGCACTATATTTAAAATTCTCCCATATTTTGTAAACATGCACCTCTTTGCATGGCCATTGGCATGATGATGCCAGGAAGGGAAGGGCTGTAATTTATCAGAGAATTAATTAGGAGAAGGTAGAAGAAAGATGGTCATGTGGTTTCTTGGTCTTGTAATTTATCACAATCTCCATATAAAAAAATAAAAAAACAGAAGAAAGATGGCACGATAAGCTTTTAGCAGCATGGTTCCTCTCTAATAGCTGACACTGATAAGATGGTCACTAGCTAGCATGGAAAAATCTAAAATCTTAGTTTGCGTGTTCAAGCCAAAGACATGTTTTACGGCTTAGCTACCGCTAGCTAGGGTTGGTGCACCCATGGAGATGTAATCTCTTGCCGTGCTGCTGCCCTTGCCCTCTGCTTTTCCTATTTCTATCATCACTACTAACTCATCTGGCATTTGATCATACATGCAAGAGTACTATTTAGTATTTTACACTATAAGCAATAAGCAAAACTCATGTATACTAGGTCTCTTTCTAACTCTCCTAGATAGTACTCTCACTCTTGATCACCAATAAGCAACTCTTCATATATATTTGTATTCAATAATTTTATATTATGTTGAATTGAGAAGAAGTGAGAGTTAGGACCTCAACTTTTTTTTAAATTGCAAGGGACTAATAAAAAAAATCAAAACTGAAATCCACATCGATTCATATATATGTTGCTTGATAAAAAAAAATTGATGGTTGCCTACTGACTATTTCCATGGCAGTATATAATGCTTTTAGAAATTACATTATAAACAAGAAATAAGAACAATAATTCCCAAAACAAAGTAGCTGTGACAACAAATGTCTAAGATTTGTTTCTGAACTTTGTCTGCAGTATCACTGTCCCTTTGGTGCCAATTAATTAGCGAGGCGTCATCAACAGGAACCAACACAATATGTAAGGGAGCAACGACTATTCATCACACACACACACACACACACAGCTATGATGAATGCTAAGGTGAATGATGAGTTTTTGACAGAACTGTGTACGTATTTAAGCAGGATCATGGTTCAATAGTAACACTTAAAACAAGCGAGTATTTGGTGAGATAAGCTTTGTAGATGGAATGGGAGCAGTTGTCATCTTTTTCTCAAAGCATTTTCCGGGAAGGGTGACTCATATGCAAGCTCAAACTAATTAAAGATATTTTAATATAAGGAGAAAATGAGCTAACTAATACATACATGGAATACAAGTTTATTGAGGGTCATGTAAATATGTGATGAGTTTACGCCGCGTATAATGGAAAAGAAGAGCTTAGAATTTCACAAACTTTTACAACTATATTTAAACTTAATTATCAAATTCATACTGAAAAATTAAGCTTGGTATATTTATGTATACAATTCCTACACCGAAACCCTAATCCTTATTAGGAATTATATGGCTAATATAAAATCCAAATATCCAGCTTCTTTTCATAATAAGCATATGAATCATAGGTACTTACACGTTGTACACACGAAAGGGAGAGCTTATATCCCTATCCTCCTCTCCTCTGCCGTCAATATTTCTTGACATGAGTAGTTAGCCATTCATTTCAGCTCAAGATCTCTTGTACTTGGGCACAACATGTCGGAAAGCTAGCATGTTGTCCTTCAACTATAGGTAGATTTACGTAAGAAATCTCTCAGCATCACTCTAAATTGGATATAATATGAAAGGACACAAATAATAGCAGAAGTAATTGAAGTGGTAAAGCTGGGTCGCATTAAATCAATGAGAAGTGAAATTGTTGTCGACACACGGACAGAAGACAACAGAATCAAACTTAGATTTCAAATAATCTAACACACACACACACACACACACACACACCATGTGCTCATGGTAATTAAATCAGTAATGTAATATGAAACATCAAGGAAAGAGCCCCTTCTGAATTAAGATCAATTATTATTTGATAACATTTAATAACTCCTCAGTTTTATCGAAGAAGAGTACAGCCCTCTGCTGGGTAAGCTTTTGTTTAGTCCAGCCCAATGAAACTCCAAAACAAAAGAGAGGAAAGGTTTATTTCCATTGTAGAAGAAAGCCCTGCAAATATTTGACGACATAAATGAGGCACGCTTAGGGCATGATGCCGGAGATGAAATTTAGAAGGGAGCTTGGCTATGTTACGGGTTCCAGAGAAGTCGTGAATGGGTAAGACTAAGACAACCCGTACATCTTTGGGCTTTGAAAGGGTAAGCGAGTGGGAATCATGGTTGGTCAAAAGGGTAAATTTAGTCTATAATTCAAATCTAAGAAATCCATGATTCGAAATCTAAATTACATTAGAGGTTTAATTTGAACCCAACAGAAAAATTGACCTGATGAAACTAAATTTTGATTAACTTGTAATTCAATTAACTTAGTAAAACATGGCCAAATCAACATTGATGAATTTAAAAAATATTATTATTTTGATAAAAAGTATTTATCAAAAGCTACGTATTTTTATATTTAGGGTGGTGGTAATTATCAAACAACAATTAAGCTAAAACAATCATTAGAAATTTATGACAGAAAATGGAGTGGGTGGGGGTGGGGGGGTGTGTAAACTTTGGAAAAGCTGACAGGATATTATCGCCCCTGAGAACATCACAGGCAGGAAGGTTGAGGACTTGGGAGGCGAAAATCTCTGTATTCTGAAGGCACGTCCATTGTTGATCATCAACCACACAGGAGAAGATAAACATGCTGCTAGCTCTATGTAGTATATACTTGGACGGGATGAAATCATCAGCTATATAAGACATGCAATCCTGCAGCTTTGAAGCATTTGCATCAGAATTCTGACTACTTCCCACTGCTGATCCCACCACCACAGCTTTACCAGCGCCACACACAAGTGCAATATGTTCAGAAGAACTGATCGCAGGGAAAGTGAAGGTGATTCTCTCTGGAGGTGGTTTTGGAGAGACTGATGTAACCCATTCCTGATTTTCCTTGAGGAGTGGATGTCTAGGGAAAAGAGAAGCTACATGCCCATCCAGACCGTGCCGCTAAGCATCCGATCAAACTTTGGGAATCCACTCAATGAAGATTTATCTACCACGCCAGTATGAACTAAAAGTTTGAGACAGGTTTCATAATCATCAGGTGCACCCTCAGCAGACAAGGCATTGTTGATGGCATAAGCATCACCTGGGAGGATTGGTAGCTGCAAAACATTCAAGGGAAAAACAAGTTCATTTCCTCAAAAAATGGCATTTATCAGCATAGAAGTATAGATTATCCACAAAAGAAAAGGGTTCAAGCTCACATTGTCCTTTATCACAAACAAAATAGATTATTACACTTGCAAACCAGATAAATTTCCAGCTCTCCCATACTGCCCAAGAGAAGAAACTCAACACAATAAACACAGTTGAAGGAAAAGGCCATGGAAACATTTCAAACAAAAAGACTATAAATGAATGTTATGGCAGTAGGCTTTCCAATACATTTAGTGGTTGTTACATTTGCTTAGACAAATAATAGTCTATCTAAAATTCTCATCAATACACCAATCCAATTTGGGTCTTTATATATCTCCTTAAGAACTAAATAACCTAATTAAGAACTAATCAGAAAAGAGAGAGATTGATGTGAAAAAACAGGTTCAAAAATATCCTAAAGTTGAAACACAATAAAAAAGTTCAAGCGATTCCAGGTTGCAAAATTGAAAAATCTTACTGGGAAAGGCCAGTGGACCGAAGAACCAGGCTAACGCTATCTTCTTTTACAAAACCGGGGAAGGAACAATGCACACACGTGTGTTGTGATCTAGATGGGTTTCTAAAATCAAACCCTCTCTACCCCCCTTCAGGGGCAAAAATGAAGAGTTCATAAGATAGTTTATACAACTGCTATTCTGACATGAAAATCTTCTAACAAGCCTATCATCTAACATTGCTAGAAATCAATGGCAATGCAGACTGGATCAGATCTTGCAACTTGATAGTCAATCTGGAGACCGTATTCTTGAACATTTCGCAGGAAATTATCTCCTCAGCAGAAAAGTCAGCTTGCTGCAGTGCATGGAGCTGCCTCTCCAAGTACCTACTAAGACTAGCCTCTGTGATGTTAATGAGAATGAGAGAAGGATTTGTGTGCATAAATTTGGTAATGAGAAATCCTGCTAGGATCTGCTGATCACCCTTCACAAGCTCTGAAATGAAGCAGGGGAACATGATTCTTCTGAAAAATAATAACACGTCTTTCTCTGTGTTTACATGTTCATTTGTTCCCTTGTTCATGATTGTTAATGACTGAGCTTCCTGACTCTGGCGTGAGAAATTCCCAACCAAATAGCAGAGATAAGAGAAAGTAGTGCTGTAAGAGGTTTTGGCGATTATAGTTGAGATAACCCCAGAAGATAACACGAGCATTAAGAACTCATGGTCCCTGCCAGCCGAGTCCGAAATCCCTCCTTGTTTCAGCTTGTCTTCAACTACATCCAAACACCGCAACTGTATCGCCTCATAAGGCAGAAGAAGCACCATTTTTAGAGCCAAAAAAGTATCCTTCTCAAGTACAGCCTGGCTCAAGCTCCTAGCATCACCTTCATCAAGCAATATTCCATAAGATTTTGAAAGTGATCGATCAATCAGCCTTGACACATCCTTAAACTGGGACAACCCGATGAGCTTTTTGAAAATTTCCATCCAACAAACATGTAAAGGATGAAAATGATTAGAATTCTCTGTCTTCTCTTTCTCAGGAGCTTCTTCATCCTGAAAGCTTTCCCATCCTCCATCCCAACCATCATTACTCCAGCAATTTTCTGCTTCTGTTGCTTCTGTGGTATCTACTTCATCTTTTTCCATTACAAAAAAACCTTCCCACTCTTCTAAAATGCCTATCAATGCATCAAAATGAGGTTCTGTACAGGAAGATGCACACAACTTCAAGAAGCAAGAGACTGCAGTCTCAATATTCACGAGATCATCAGGGGTAATTTCTATCCTAGGGGATATGGAGGATGCAAGCTGAGATGATTTGAGGGCAACCAGTGTACTTGTAAACCCGCTAGAAGTATCTACATGATCAGGCAACCCCTGATTTGCAGAAGTCTCACTCTTTTTACTGGTAGAGAGCAACCCATCCCATCCTTCCCATGATAATAGATTAGATTCTAGCTCTGTAGGGAAGCCCTTAATGTTTCTACCTGTTATGAACTGCATAATCTCTAGAACATATACTCGAACATGGCTAGGGAGCTCCAAATTATTAGAGAATTGAGCCATTCTTTCCCAAACTGCATGCCTGACTCTTTGCAAATCCTCTATTTGACCTTCCAACTTACTCAGAGATGATAAAAATTGATACAAATTCTGGTGTTCATGGGATCCACCAACCAAATCTCTTAGAATCGGCTCCAACATATTTATATAGAGATGAGGAAGATCCAGGGATTCATTGTCAGCAGTTGGAGCTGAACTGATGGCACACTTCGTCATTGCTTCCAAGAATACTTCTGAAATGGCTCCAAACCCGCAACCAGCATATAACATAGATCTACAGAAAATTGGTATCTCAACAGAAAAATCACCAATTAAACCACAGCTTGCATAACCAATTAAGGTGCCCCAGACCTGACTTGGTGAAACACGGTCCTTCATCACCATCCTCATAAAAACCTTCAGACCACTAGATAAGAACTCTGGATCAAACCTGAATTTTCCAACTGACCTGTCATTTAACAACATTTCCTGCATTTCTTCGCTCAATTTAAGCCAAAAGTTCAATAGGATGATGAGGCAATCCTGCCATTTTGAGTCATCTGGTATACTCTCATGAGAATCATGCAGTGGTATAATCACTGTGATGTATTGCTTCATAATATCTAAAGAATCTGAAAGTGCCAAAAGCCTGATATATGTTCTACAAAAATCATAGGTTTAATCCAGTCAACTCATAAAGTCCTGAAACTTTTCAGCATTTCTGACATCAAACTCTGTTCTAAGTCTATTTACCAAATTCATCAATAAACTCATCACATAATGTTTGTAGACATCTGGCCACAGTATGACACCTTCCGGTACTGAATCAGTGTAGATACTGACCAATGCTTGTACCATTTTTGCCAAGGCTTCCACGCTAAATTCATCAACACGTGAAAAGACTTCCTTTCGGAAAGACTGCAAATTTAAACCATCTAATCCAGCAACATTCTTAAAGTTTAGGTTATTAATAAAGGAAACCCTTTGACATTCTTGTTCAAACACCTTGTACAAATGAGCTAATTCAAGAGCAGACAAATTTGATGAATTTGGATGAGCTGTTGACAATGATTCTTTGGTTTCTTCCAGCCGCAAGTAGCAATCAGAGAGGAGGCCATATATACATGCAAGGCATATCTTGTTGCACCCATCAATTGTGGGGTATACAACCAAGGAGATAGTTTTGATGGTTTCAGAACCACAGCCAACTATTTCTTCCTTGACCTCTGAAATTTCAGCCTTAATATCATCATCAGTCCAAACCTCAGAAACAAGAAAATAACTTAGATACCATTGTAGCACCTGCAGGACAGAGAAAATACATTATATAACAAGTAAAGAGAGCAAGTAGATGTCTCCTCCAAGCATAAAGATATTTACACACTTAAAATACCTCAGTGTGATTTAATCCATAGGCATCGACCAATTTTAACATGTCCCTTATAATGTGCTTCTTTTCCAACTTTACTGATTCAATCAAGGAGAAAATAGCACTCTTGATGTAGTCAAGGTCACCAGACAGAAAACGCCCAGTTTCAACTCCAGGAATGATTTTCTCCAACACTCTAGATTGTTCAGCTACACGTTTTTTTTCTTCCAATTTAAACTTCCATTCCCTCCAAAACGTGGACTGTTCTACAGCGATTTTGGTCATTTCATCTGCATTCAATAGGCAAAACAACAAACAGGAGAAATACCATCATTGCACTGGAAATAACATTGAGTGTTATTTTATTAAGAGATGATATTATAAATAGGGCCATATTGAACTTGTATGCCAAGTAGATTTTTCAAGTCATGTAAAGGACTAAATCCAATCACCTGAACTAGGTACTTTGTGCTTCTCTTTAAACTTCCTCAGCAGTAGCTCTCTCCTCTGAGCCGGACCCTTGCACTCAACTCCAGAGTTATGTAATAAACTGTATGTCATTCCCACATTCATGATGCTGCAAATTTCTTGGTAATTCTCCCGCATCTTTAGCTGCTCTTCTATTATTGCTACTAAGATGCTCTTCTATTATTGCTACTCCACTGAAGGCATCCACGAGATTCAATAAGAAAGAGCACCCTGTGATGTCTTCCTCTTCAGTAGCAGGTGGTTCTATGATTGATTTTGCCAGAGGCAATAACATCATCTCTGGGAGCAAAACCATTTCTTGCCAGCCAGGACAGGATAGTTACCCCAGCTTCTGTTCTTATGCTGACATAATGCTTTCCAGGGATAAAGTTGGAAATTTTCTTACCATTTTCTGCTTTCTTACTCAATTCAAGCAACCATGGGAGTTGAATAGTCGCAAAAGATAGAAGTTTTCCATTTTCCCGCAAAAAAGATTCCAGATCAGTTCCACTATCCACATGCCAGTTTTTAGTAACAAAAGAAAGTGTATTTTTAATGTTACTGAAACAAACTTCTTGATCTCCACTGCCTGCTCCTCCAACCAGTTCAGAGAAATCTTTGAGGTCAACTATTTCTTCTATTCCATGAGCTGGGAGTGATGTAATGGAGGAACCTTGATCTGAGAAGCTGGACGGACTTGTCCCAGTCAAGATAGACAAATTCTCACACTGGCCTTGCATATCAAGATCTTTCCACGCATGAAGCAACTCGCCAATAGATTCCTCATCACAATGACTCAAAGCAAAACCTAGCAGCTGTTTTCGAGAGCCTATATCAATATTTTCAAGGGCAGGACCCCTTGCTATTGCAGCACATAGATCCCAAACAGGACCATACCCTTTTTTGGCAAGAACAAGGCAGAGATCAAATGCCAATTGCAGATCACCTGCCACTGCAGCTTCTCTAGCAATAGCTTCCTGAACAGTACATATATCATCTGAAGAGTTCAACCCAAGAAGTTTGGCAACCTCAATGAGTTCATCAACATGTAGATAAGCTCCAGCTTGGCTAGTGATTGCCATTTTGATGATCTCCATAGGATCCTTTATTTGCCTGAACTGCATGGGTAGTAGAGTCACTCCAAGGTAGGGAAGTTTAACAGTGAGAGCATCAATTAAATCAGCCTCTGTCTGAACATTTCTGCTATTTGGAAATAAATTAAGGCATTCCTTGGCCTTCCAGATCTGAAACAAGTTGCAGAAATATAATCAATCAATTTATACAGGAAGATAGCCATTTGACAAACGAATCATGTCAGCTGGAATTCAATGAGAATATAAATCTAAATAAGCCAGAATTACTACCTACAATAGTGATAATAAAAGAATTTACAGAGAGCTTTTTTTTAATATGTTTATATATAAATATTTATATTTGTAATAATATATATACCCCAATAGCACCCCATAACAATGATGAAAACAGTACTGTATATTATAATGTTGCTTGTAAGAAAATTTAGAAAAACTATATGTTACCATTACTTATTCCATAAAGTATGTTATAGCATCGTGGAAATAGGCACACCAAAAAGATATGACATGTTAATAGCTAGAAAATTCATTTTTTGACATATAATGAACAATAAACCAAAAGATTTTCACCAATGCACAGATATCTAATAAAAAATAGCTGCTGTCATACAAGAGTGCCTTTCAAACAATTCCTAGCAAAACAAAACATGGCATACTAAATAAATATTCAAATTCAGAACGAGTGGATTTATGATGGATATATAAAGAGAAAACATATCAAATTATTGCCAGATATCTCAAGCCATAACAAAGCTTAACATGTGTGCTTGCTTCAGAGCAAGAGAGACTTGAAGCTGAGAAGAAGTACTCCCGTGCTGCTTGAATAACAAGATTTTCTGCTTTCTCTGATGCTAAGGCTACGGAACTTGTACCTTTCAGATAATTTCTTGCAAGAGAAAATTTCCCAGCTTTCAGCATTCCTCTGCAGAATTCCACAAGCATATACTCTGGGTTGAGGAAAGGAAAAACCTTCTCTCGCAAGCATTGCACATCACGCCACATGTTTGCCCAATCATTATCTGATCGACCTGGCTGTCTCCGAACAAATTTTGAGAGTATAAGACGAAGAATCTGTTTTACACCTTTTTCATCTGCATGAGCTTCCAGGAAAAACTTCACTGGCTTTGGAACCTGAAACAAACAATTCAATGCTATCACATTAGTGCGAACAAATTACAAGAGCAGTTAATGGCTCTCAACCACACAATCTGCATTGCAGTCTCACTTTTAGAATGCTGAAAGCCTCAAAAAAAAATTCATTTATCATTATTGTTCCACAAAATTAAAGTAAATAACATGTTAGAGAGTGAAGATGCCTGAATAGAAACACATATCTAATGATTCCATTACTTGATGCTTGAAATGAATTCCCTGATCAAAAGAAGCATGGGCCATAGAAAACAAATGACAAACCTGATACAATGCCAAAAGCCTCCCTGCTTCAATATGACCTTCAGCAAGTTTTAGTCGTTTCTCAAGGCCCTCAATAGATATTCCAACATCTGTTAAGGTGAAATGCTATTGATTATTTTTTTTATCATTGATAATTCCAAAATCAAAGAAAGCCGAACAATCTCCATAATAAAAATGCACACATAAATATGCCATTTGTTAAGTGTATTTTGATCTTTCTATACATCTGTCTTCAGCAGAATATATTAGTCATTAAAGCCAAGACTCTAGAATATACAAGGGGAACTTAAAAAGAAAAGTATAGTTTCAGATCCAGGAAAAGTGATAAAGAAAACCCATGTTACCACAACTTCTGAAATTAAAAGCAACCCAAACTTGAGAGCAGAACTTAATTGGAATGATCTTTATCTTCTTAGCCAATTCCCATGTCAAGTTGGAAGTGTCATAACTACATCTTTGGGTTAATAAGAATCTATATGCATTACACAGACTTTACCTTGCTTCTGTGGGAGCTTTGTCAATAAGGCAGCCATTATACTCCATCTATCTGTAACAGTGCACAAATAAATGCACTGCAATGCACAATCTACAGCTTCAATCTCGTCCTTGAAGAAACCATTAACATGCAATTCCCTGCATCCTTCCTCAATAACCATCAAGCATATGTCCAGTTTATTCTCCGAAGCAATTTCCTTCAGCCATTTAACCAGAAATGAATCGCCCATGTGAACTGAGGGAAAATGCCCATCTATATCCTGATCTTTAGTAACAGGGATGTTGTGAAACCTATTTTGCATAAATGGAACTGCCCTATCATGCAGTTTTTTTACCACATTTTCCTCTTTCACTCCCTTAAGCATCATTCTGAATTTTTCATAATCAGATAATTGTTCCCAGGAGATAAGGCTCATATTGGAACATGTGTCAGCATCATTTTCATCTGAATAAATGAGCTGGTGCAAGTATAGAATATCTTCATGAAACTTCTGTAACTCAGAGATGCCTTTGCGGCAAGCAAAATCAATCAAGAAGAGACAGTTGTCAAGCTGGCCACTGCAGCTATCAATATCTCTAGCTCTACACCTGTACCACTCAGAAAGTTCACTAGATGACGGCCAAAGATAACCAAGGCACAGTTTGACAATGGGCTCAGTTCGGATCTGGATGCCAATCTCATGATTCTCAGGTGGCCTATTGATAAAGTTTACCATCTCCTCACATTCTATCCAATCTTCTTCCCTAAGAGCAATTCTTGGGGGAGGAGATCTCCCAGGAAGAAGCTGCCATAGGTTTGAACAGGAACAGTTTCAGGAATAGCACTTAATATTTTCAACATTGAAGGAGATAGCGAATACGGATGACGCTTGAAGAGGAGGTTTAGGGCACCGATTTTCCCACTTTCAGCAAGTGCTATGGCAGCTTCACTGACAAGTATAACACGGAATTTGCTATATTCCTGTACAGAAAACCTGCACAAAGACTAAGTCAATAAGCAGTCAGTCAATACAAGTAATAATTTAAAAGTAATTCCAGAATACTTAATGCACTATTTCTTTAATCACATAAGAAACTTCCAGCAATGATAAAAATAACAACAGCAGAATAATAAAACCCATAGCATTATAAAATCATTGTACCAAAGCTTTTCACATATGAAAGAAAAGAATCAAATCATACATGTAGATTTAACATCTTCAATTATCCAAATTAAACAAAAATATGAAATTGGAACTTAATCGAGAAATTTGCATGAGATTTTTCTGCTTGTAGCTTATAGAAACAGCTTCAATATCTAAGAAAGAATAGTTGGATGTCTTTTTATCCACAACATCTGTAGGAACTAGTGTAGCATGCATATGCACCAAGGTATTTAGCCTGTTTCGCAAGTAAAGGTTCATAAAATATATCAAAATGGTTGTCCAGATCTGATGCCACGTTCTATCTTATTGTTATTTGCAAACCATGAGGGAGAAAGGTGTTGAGTTTCCAGAGAACATAATACCTGCCCATGTTTATCCCCATATAGGTCTCTAGCCTGTCCCTGAATTGCAACAGCTGAAGTCTAGCATTACGAAAATCCCAGATCTGGCTCCCTTTATCAGATTTTGACTCTGAAAAACAGAATTGATCAGTTACATGCAGCCCATATGAAAGTAAAGCTTTTACAGCATCTTCTGTTGGTCCAACCTTATCAACACATTCAGAAATGACAAAACTGTGATCCTTTATTTTGGACAAAAACATATTTATATCATCTTTTCCTTGGCCAGAGTGCAACCACTGAGATTTCAAAACTTCATCTCTGTCCAAACTATGATGATTGGCAAAGTTCAAGGCAGCTTGATATTTAAGACTACTAATTAAGATATTGTACATTTCAGGAACAGATATCTTTGAAAGTGAGATCAGACTCCAGCGCAACTGGGAAACATCAAATTGATCACTTCTGCCTCCCATGATCTGCTCTACATTGTGTGCATCACCTGATTCTCTGCTATGATTAGATGGGATTTTGCTATCTAAAACAAATATGTGTCCTTGAAACTGCTGTATTCTATCCAAAACAATAATTGAATATAGATGGTCGTCCTCTTGAAACTTTAAGCCAGTAACAATATCAAGCATGATCACAGTGCCGCCATGATTTGCAATAGTCATGATGTGGTCAGACCACCAAGTAAAATCCACAACATCACTTAAAACCTCATTCTGTCCGTTTGTTAAGTTACTGGTTCCTTGTGAACCTAATTTCTCTTCACCAGAAAATATCAAAAGTGAACGGCTTTCTTTATCCATCTTGAATATGTGCAAGCATCCTGATATATCTAAAGTGGCGACAAACTTGCCAAGTGGTGAAATTAGCACCTTTGGACATGCTAGTATGGCATCTCTTGATTTGGAGTATAAGCCTTCAAACTGAATAGAAGACAATGGTTCCAAATCAAAGTTTTGACTTCTCCACCAAAGAGAAAGAGTGCAAGATCCTGAAAAAAAATATTAGAATATAAAATCAAAATCTGGGTGATATGATTTAAAACGGAAAAGAAAGTAAAAAAAAAATGACTTTCCAAGCTGCCTGAGGTGGTCTTGTACATCTTTAATTTCACCATCTACATTTTTGCCTATGCAAATTGCATTACAATTTCATGAACCAAAATATCAGTTAGAATATTACTTTTTTCCTTTTCAATTTTAGTATGCTCCAGAGAGTAAAGAAAAAAATGGAGAATCTCAATACCCTGTGTGAGTATCCATATGTATGGGCTAGACACAAGGATTTATCTGAAAATTAAAGTAATCATCTGCTTAACAGGACTAAAACCTAAGATCTTCCCTTGAGGAATGCAAGTCAGGCTACAAATAATAACATGCTTTGGTACTTGCATATATAGAATATAGTTGGAAACTTAAACTCTTATAAGAGATTAAACGAGTTGACAGGCATCCCCCTACATGAAGGTTAGAAAAATAAGATAAATTGATATTCAAAATTCTGATATTGTTCAGAAACTAGAGAAATCATTGCATTCTGGTGTCTATCCAGTCAAATGTACATTTATTGAATCATATTACATCAATTACACAAACCTCTCTATAAATTCAAACTCTAAAGCACCACAATGAAAACAAAGATGACTAAAACATACCAGCAGAATTTCCACCAGTTAATTCCGAGAGGCCAACTGCACTACCAACAGCAACAAGCAACAAACATTCCGAACTATAGTCAAAGCAGAAAACATCCTTAGGAAACTTCCCCGGCAACTTCACCTCGCTATTTGAAACAGAAGCACTTAGCTCTGTACCAATCTCAATTTGACGAAGACATCCATCTGCTGTGATAATAACAAAACTACACCTGAAAAACTTTTCAACCAACTAATCATCCATCAAAATCACTTAACTTCACAAATGATCAACACACAAATTCATGAACACTTACAAACAAGACCGCCGCTGCGCATCCTTATCATCATCATCCTGCGGAATCAACCCTGCTATCGACGAACTCACTTTTAACTGCCGTCTACTAATTCTCGTAATCTCTTCCCCATTCACTTTGATAAAATAAACCGTATCACTATCATCAACAACTCCTAAAACACCATGAGTTTCCGACCAAACTCCGCACGTAAACACACCACCACTGCTACCTGACATAAAATCCAGAAACAAATCAACAGAACAAAAAAAAATAAGAATAAAGAAATTATTAAGGATCTGAACTTGTAATTGACAACGTAACTAAAATTAAAGTCTTACAGGTGAAAATGCCGTGAGGTTGCTGATAATCATTCTCTTTGGAAAAAATCGTAATTTGATTTGCACTTGCAACAGCAACATATTCACCTCTCGGAGATATAAACAGCGACAAATTCCTCTTAATTCTTGTCGCTAATCTTGAATAATTAGCATTGTAATTTCTGTAATCACTCCATTTATCTTTGATTATCGACCAAAAACCGACCCGGTTTACCTGAATTGTTCACAGAAAACACGAATCAATACGTTAATTGTGATTAAGAAGTAGAGATTAAAGCGAAGAGAGAGAGATCGAGAGACCTTGTTGGAGTGTTGAAGAGGAGGGTAATTAGGAGTGTAAGGTCTGGAGACATGAAGACGTGTCTCGTAAAGCACTTCGTCTTCCACCATTGACGATGGTAGACGACGCCGTTTCTGTGTGGCAAGACGGAGAAACAACCGGCAGAAGGAAGGAGGGTGGTGATGCTTCCTTCTTCTTCTTCTTCTTTCTCCAAACTTGAAGAGAAAGGCCCATTGCTAATCAGGAAAGACTGGGCGTTTAAAGCCCATTTGTAATAACCTTCGGCGTTTTTGCTTTTACTTGTAGCATCATTGTTAGAATTTATAAAAGAATTGGAAATGTGAACATCAAAATATTTAAAAATAAATAAAAATTGATGAGAAAAAAAACAAATTATCATAAATTAAAAACCAAATAAGCCAAATAATAGCATATTATAACCAAATCATCCCCTAGTTGAACATTCTCACCATAATGTTCTAAAATAACAAAATTATTTCCAATTTTTAAAAAATTAAATGCCCCACATTAGCAAGATTGGTAATCTCTAATAGCAAAAAGAAAATTAGAAAAATTTCAATTTTTCCTTTATAGTGTATTTTATCTTATACTACCCAAGAAATTAACCCTTTATTCATTTCATTTTCTCACTCTTCATCTTTCTTGCTTTGATTTTCTAACTCTTGGTGTTTGTTTGGAGTACTTTTTAAAAGTATTTTTAAAAAAAATTAAATTTTTTTACTTTGAATTAATATATTTTTGATATTTTTAAATAATTTTGATGTGATGATCTTAAAAATAATTTTTAAAAAATAAAAAAATATTATTAATATATTTTTCTGAGTGAAAAATATTTTAAAAAATAATTACAATCATACTTCCAAATACGCTGTTAATCTCTCCCTCTGTTTATCTCTCATTTAAAATATAGTGTTTGAAATTACAATAATAGTTGTTTTTAAAAATATATTAAAATAATATTATTTTAATTTATTTTTAATATTAACATATCAAACCATCCAAAATCACAAAATAAAATAATTTAAAGTAATTTAAAAAAAAATCCTCCAGTTTTAAATTCAAAAACAAATACACTCTCAACTCCCAATCTCTTTTGCAGAAGAATTTTTTTCCTTGGGCTTTTAAATCAATGCATTTGCGACGTATGCGACCAAGGCTATTTGCAAAATCACTGCGCCTGAGGCATAAATTATTATTACATGACCAATCTTAAATTTTCATTTACTCCAAATATATATTTATAAGTCTTTTTGCGTGTGTGCTATGCATATTTGTTTGTATTTTGCTTGTCTACAATGTTGAAAGAGCGTGGGTAATCTCTTGAGTTCATAGAACAGACTAATTGTACGCAAATATTAATGAATTGAGTTCGTGCAACAAACTAATTATAGTCAAACATTAATGAATTGGTAAGTAAAAAACCTGAGTTTGGCAAGACTAAACTACCATTTAAAATCTGAAAATTTCAACGAGAAATTAACCCTATAACAAGTGGAGGTTGCTCTTCAGAGTAGGGGTAATTGTTTTTTTGTTAAGTTTGAATTTTATAAAAAAAAAATAACAAAAACTGTTTTTTTTTAATTAAAAACTAGTTTAAATTGATCAATTTTGATTCGATTAAGTTATTTTAAAAGAAAAACTGATTCAAATTGACAGGCTCAATTTTTTAATCAGGTCAATTTTTTTCTGGTTTAGATTGGTTTTTTTGATTTTTTTATCTGGATTTAATTTAGTTTTTTCAATTTCAGATTTATAAAACTAAATCGAATTAGTCAGTTTTAAAAAAAAAATAATCAATTTTTTTTATATAATTTGGTTTTTTCAATTATATTTTTTTAATTTAATTAATTTTTCAGTTTTTTTAATCATATCTTCGCAGAGTGTTTAAATTTGGCAGGATAAAATGCTTGAAAAGGAAGCAAACAAACGGTGTATCTATCCAGGCAACCTTCTCCCCGTGACAGGTGGATTTTTTGTGAGGCAGAGAAAAGGTCAACTGTTCTGTAGAATCTTTAAACATTTTTTTATGATCTCAATTATCAGCATCAGCTTCACTGGTAACTCAGAAAATTGTCCCATGATCCTCCTGGGCAAGCATCTTGCCTGCCGGCTGAGAATTTTGCCAACATGACTTGCTACATGAGAGGACGTCGGAGCTTATACCTTATCCTAGAAAGAGATCTTCCATGGATTTCAACGCAGATCTCTTTCATTTCACCTTTTACTTCTGTGAGAGAATATTGGAGCAAGATAGTGTTTATTATTATATTGTTTTTAAAGTATTTTTTTTTTAGAAATATATTAAAATAATATTTTTTAATTTTTTTAAAAAATTTATTTTTGACATCAAAACATTAAAAAATTAATTTAAAATAAAAAATAAGATAAACGGCACTTTAGGTCATTGTTTTGATATATTTATAAGAAAAAAAAAAGAAGAAAAAGGGCAATTTCACTCAGCAAAATTAGCAAATAAGGGTTTATGTTTTTTTAAAAGTATATTTAATAAAAAAATATTAATTTGATATTTTTTAATTTTTTTTAGTTTAGATATGCTAACATTAAAATATAAAAAATATTTTACACCGCAAATTTAAATACACATAAATTTTAATGATTTAAAATCCCATACGATCGAAGACAAAAGTCTCAAATTCAAGACTGCAAGAATACATAAATGTCGACACTCACAAGTAACATAAACCACTCATTTATTTCGGACAAGAGCAGTAGTTTAGTAGAAGAACAGGGGCATGTTAAAGTCTTCCTGTCTGGGACCTAAAATCCATGGTGAAAGGGACAACTAAATCAAGGCGGGAATCTTTTCTAATCTTCAACTGGAATTAAACTCCACCATTGAAGACAAATCAAGCTAAGCATTTCGCCTTTATTCTATAGCAAAAGGCAACGTATGGCTGCTAGCTAAACTTTAATTTTATACTGTGTATAATACTTTATTTTATTTTTAAAATAACATTTACTTATTATTTCCATAAAAAAACATATATTACTTTCTATTTAAACTCATTCTAAAACTTTCATGATTTTTTATTTTATTTTATATTTATATTTCTCCAGTCAAGCATATTTATATTTATTCATTGTACCCACTGTAACACTAATAAACTTGAATAATTCATTTTAATCTATTTATTTTTATGTTTTAAAAATATTTTTTAAAAAAATTATTTTTTTTATCTTTTTCTTTGCTTTAAATTAATATTTTTTTAATATTTTTATATTATTTTAATTCGTTAATATTAAAAATAATTTTTAAAAAATAAAATAATATTAGTTTAATATATTTTTAAATAAAAAATATTTTAAAAGACAATTATAACCAAACTTCCAAACAAGGTTGTAAATTAGATATTTTATCAACAATATGCTAACTGGCATACATTTTATATTTAGTATCAATTGAATTAGATTCTAGTTCGTGTGTTCATGTGTTAATGTTCCAACCAGCATATATTCTATATGATAAAAGGAAGTGTATAATATTGCCAACAATATCAAATTTATGTAGACGACGATGCTAAACGTGCTAGAAAATGCAAGTAGGAATTTGTTTATTAGTTTTCTTTTTTTAATTCAAAATCCAAAGCCCCTTTATTCAAAAGAATGGTTTTTTTTTTAAAAAAAGAGAAAGATTGCAAAATATAGAAAGCTACATGGATGCTTTGACTGAGAACCTCTGATAATCCATTTTCATTTCATCATTAAATTGACCATTAATTAAGAACTAAGATAGTCGTGGAAAAAGGAGGACATTTGAATTTCTATTGGAAGAAAGGAAGGGGTTCTTTGATCTTCTTAGATCTGGTGGCTTAGACTTTCCCTGCGTTTTCAATTAGTTAGGGTTACAGAAGTGACCAGCGGGAGGCAAGACAGTAATGGAAGAAGAACAAAATAAAAAATAGAAACAGAAAGAAGATAAACGTATGATTCAATCAAATGCATATTAGGCATAAGTGGCCTTCTATTTTTATACCTTTATAACGATTATATCATAAGTTTGGATTCTGGTGGATAATATTTTTTAAAATAATTTTTTATTTTAAAATATTTTTTTTAGATTTCTTTTATTTTTAACATTAACACAGAGAACTAATTTAATACCTTTTTAAACTATTTTTTTATAAAAAAAAACATCTAAAAATATAAGTAAGAGTTGTGCCAAATAAGTTTTTTAATGAAAAACAAGTATTATTTTTAAATTAATCATTAATTTATATTTAAATTAGATCTAAAGTTATTGTTCGTTATTTTTTCTTAGTTATTTTATATTTTTTGTTTAGTTTAGAAATCTTAATGTTGTTGAATTAATTAATCATATAATTCTCAATAAAAAATCATTTTTTAATTATGATTTAATTCTACAATCAGTATAAACACGGTTATCCGGTTTATTTATCTTAGTAAATTATTTTTTTTTAGATTAACGTGGGTGTCCGGGTCAGCTTGCTCGCACCATGACTAATCCCACGGGCCCTGAAGTTAACGACCATGTAAGCCTCCAGTGGTCATCATATGAACAACCAAGAACTCGAACCTGAAATCACAGAACGAACAAACCTTTTAGTCTCAAATCTTTACCACTTGGCTACTACCTAGATGATTTATTTTAGTAGATTATTATTATTATTAGTGATGTTTATATTTTCTCCGTTGCTTAGCTTTCTCAGTAGGTGATCGGAAATTGAGAGCTAATTCTTTCCAAACTCTACGTCAACTTTACCACTAAAAGATTTCTTGCTTCGCCCTTGCGAATAGTCGGGAAAAAACTGACGTTACCCACTTCTGTTCGCAAGTACTGCAGCATTTTCATGGACCACTGCAGGACGTATAGATATATATGTTACTGGCTTTATAGGGGACTGTAAGTGGAGATAGCTAGCTGGCTTGGTAGGTTAGTGCAGCAATAAATTAACCATGACATGTGCGTATTTACGATATAAATGTGACGTGACTTGCTCTGCGTTCTTGTTCACATGCCAAGATTAAAAGAAATACTCCATTATGCTACTTCTTTTCCTAAACAATAGGAAAGAGATTGCCAGTGGGATTCCAAAATCTTGATCTTGATAACATTGTTCCGATACGCTTGTAGTGATTGTATCTGCCCTACTTCCTCGAGTCCTTGCTTCTAGCTAGGGGCTATCCACAGTATCGAGACAGAAAAACCCTTGCCCCCCCCCCCCCTCAACCCTCTATATATGGGGGGTTCCAGCTCCACTATCTACGCATTG